AAAAAAAAAAAAAAAAAAGAAGGTTCTAGGCTGGATGGGATGGCTCATGCCTGTAATTCCAGTACTTTGGGAGACTGAGACAAGAAGATTGCCTGAGCCCAGAAGTGAGAGCAACCAGGGCAACATGATGAGAACTTATCTCTAAAATAAAAAATATATGTATATATATTAGCCAGGCATCGTGGCGCACAACTGTAGTCCCAGCTACTTGGAAGACTGAGGTGGAAGGATTGACTACCTGCATCCAAAAGGTCAAAGCTGTAGCAGGCATAACTATGCCATTACACTCCAGCCTGGGTGACAGAGTGAAACTCCAACTCAAAAAAACAAAAATAAAAAAGAACAAGAAGATATCCTTATGCAAAACAGGAACTTTTGTGTGTGTGTGTGTCAGAGTCTCACTCTGTCACCCAGGCTGGAACGCAGTGGCATGCTCACAGCCACCGCAGCCTCGAGCTGCTGGGCTCAGGCAATCCTTCTGCCTCCAAGTAGCTTTCCAAGTAGCTGAAGCTACAGACACGCCCAGCTAATTGTATGATTTATTGTAGAGACGAGGTCTTGCCATGTAGCACAGGTTGGTCTCGAACCCCTAAGCTTAGGCAGTCCTCTTGTCTCTGCCTCCCAAAGTGCTTGGAATACAGGCGTGAGCTAAAGTACCTGGCTCAAAACAGAAACCTTGATCCCTATCTACCTCACACCATACATATACACAAATAGTAGTTCAAAATAAATCATAGACCTAAATAAGTTAAATGACAAATTAATGATAAAGCATCTCAAAAACACATAAAAACATCTTCACAGTCTAGCAAAACTACTACAAGAAAAGATTAAAAGCAGGATATTTTTTAAAAACTATAACATCTACAACTCAATACAATCCAATTTTAAAAATAGACAAAGGGCCGGGCTCAGTGGTTCAGCCTGTAATCCCAGTACTTTGGGAGGCCAAGGCAAGTGGATTGCTGGAGTCTGCAGGTTCGAGACCAGCCAGCCCAACTTGGCAAGACCTCGTTTCTACAATAAATAAAAAATTGGCCAGACCTGGTAGCGCGCACCTATAGTTCCAGCTACTTGGAAGGCTGAGATGGAAGGATGACTAGAGCCCAGCAGGTCGACACTGGGGTTGCAGTGAGTGTGCCACACTGGAGTGTGACACTCCAACCGGGGCGAAGAGTGGGACTCCAACTTAAAAAAAAAAAATAGACAACAAACTTGAACAAACATCTTACAAAGGATATACAAATGGCTAAAAGCACATGAAACAAGTAATATCAATATTAATCATAGAAATATATAAACTAAGGCCGGCCACAGTAGTTCACGCCTATAATCCCAGTACTTTGGGAGGCTGAGGTGAGAGGATTGCCTGAGCCTGCAGGTTCAAGACCAGCCTGGGCAACTTGGCAAGACCTTGTCTCTATAATAAATCAAAAAATTAGCCGGGCCTGATAGCACGCACCTGTAGTTCTAGCTACTTGGAAGGCTGAGGTGGAAGAATCGCCTGAGCCTAGCAGGTCAAGGCTGTGGTGGCCAGGAGCGTGCCACTGCCCTCCAGCCTAGGTGACAGAGTGAGACTCCAACTCAAAAAAAAAAAAAAAAAGAAATATAAATTAAAAGCACAGACTATATACCCGTTAGGATGACCAAAATTTATAAGACTGAAAACAACCAATTGTTAATAAGAATGTAGAGCAATCCAAACTCTCACACATTGCTGGTGGTGGGTAAAACAGTAAAAAAAAGCTTTAGTCGTTTCTTATAAAGCTACATCTATTCTATTGTCCAATAATTCCATTCCTAGGTATTTATCCAAGAGAAATAAAAACATAAGCCCACAAAAGGCCTCATACAATAATATTTTGCTTTATTCATAAGAGTCAATTTCTGTCAACAAGCAAACGAAACCCATGGTGTAATCATTAACAGTCTACTTATTACTCAGCAATAAGAAGAAATAAAATACTGATATATACAACAACCTAGATGAATTTCAAAAACATGGTGAGTAAAAGAAGCCAGGCACAAGAACATATACTGTATGTTACCATGAATATGACATTCTAGAGCAGGTGAACATAATCTATGGTTAAAAAAAAAACAGCAGATGTCTGGGGCGGTGGCACGGAGATTAAACTGGAAAGGGTCACTAGGGATCTTTCTGAGATGACAAAAATGTCCTATATCTTGACAGGAGTGTAAGTTACATGGGTGGGAACATTTGTCAAACTACACGGTTAAGTTTTGTGCATTACAATGCATGTAAATTTTATCCCCCCCAAAAATTTTTTAAATGTAGTAGAGGTGTGAACAGAGGTACTACTAAAACAAGTGGTAGAATATTAATTGTTGATACTAGGTGATGGAAGTTCACTTTACTGTTTTGTTCATTTTACATATGTTTGAACTTTTCCATAATTAAAGGTTTTTAAAAAATAACTTCCTAGCTGGGTGTAGTGGCTCATGCCTATAATCCCAGCACTCTGGGAGGCCGAGGTGAGAGGATTACCTGAACCCACAGGTTTGACACCAGCCTGGGCAACTTGGCAAGACCTCAGCTCTACAATAAATCAAAAACTTAGCCAGGCATGGTGGTGAGTGCCTGTAGTTCCAGCTACTTAGAAGGCTGAGGTGGAAGGATCGCCTGAGCCCAGCAGGTGGAGGTCCACTGCACTCCAGCCTGGGCGACAGAGTAAGACTCCAACTCAAAAACAATAAAAAATAAGTAACTTCTCTTAATTCCCCCTCAGTGGAGGGGCAGAATTAGTAATCACTGCCCTTCACATAAATTAAAATATCTTACTAAGGCATTCTCTAAGCTTTTCTATGCCAAAAAATCCCCACTTTACATTTTTTCTTATTTGTCATAGTTACAGCTCACCTTGAAATCTGTTCATGTTTTCCATATCTTGTTTACATGCTATGGAAGAAATGGACTGGAGCTAACACTTCAACCTCTACTACATGCCTCACAGTATTCTACCTACTTTAAATACATTACCCACTAAAATCACAATATTAAATTTAGCATATAAAATTTTAATCCTTAGAGTAATTACGGTTAACAATAATCAACTGGACATTTCAAAATAGCCAGAAGGCCAGGTGCAGTGGTCATGCCTATAATCCCAGCACTTTGGGAGGCCAAAGCAAGAGGACTGTTTGAGTCCAGGGGTTAGAGACCAGCCTAGGCAACTTGGTGAGTCTTCGTCTCTACAATAAATTAAAAGAGCAGCTGGGTGTGGTGGTGCACACCTGTGGTTCCAGGTACTTGGAAGGCTGAGGCAGAAGGATCACCTGAGCCCAAGCAGGTCGAGGCTGCGGTGGCCATGATTGTGCCACTGCACTGCAGCCGGGGTGACAGAGTGAAACTCCTACTCAAAAAAAAAAAAAACATAGCTAGAAGAGAATAATTTGAATGTTCCTAACATAAAGATATTCTAACCAAGGAGTAAAAGCTACAAGAAGGGAAAAAAAGATAAATATTTAAGATGATATACCAATTACCCTGATTTGATTATATGAATGTATTAAATTATCACACGTACCTCCAAAATATGTATATCTAATATATATCAATAAAAATACCAATAAAAATGTAATCTTATCTGTTTACTACTTTATTACTTATCTCCCTCACTAGAGTTTAGGTTGAACGGCAACACAGATCTTATCTTGTTCTTGTTCACTATTTCTTCACACCCAGCATATAGTTGGTACTCAGTAAACATGTGTAAACAAAATAATTAAAGAAGAACATCAGAGCTCCTAAGTACCTAGTTTAGCTCTCTCTGGGGCAATGTAAGTCATTTCCCATTCTAGCTATATACATCTTATTTAGCCTTTATTCTTATTGGCATCTATATCAATTGCTGTTGTGTATTTGTTTCAAGTGGAATAGAATGATGTGTTTTAAAATTTCCTATTTTTTCTTTATTCAAATATGTAATATATAGTAAATGAATGTATTCTACATATATTCCAACAAATCTTTAAATGATATGTGATTTCAATATACAGTGTTACTTTTACTTTTTCTGCTTGTATTCATATGGATAAAGAAAAAAATTCTAATGTCTTTTTTTTTTGGAGACACTATGCTGCCCATATTCCAATGCATTTTGATGATCTTTTTTTAAAAAAAAATAGAGTCACCACCATAATAAAGCTTAAAAACCCTAGCAAATATTGAGAATTTAGAGTTCCTTACAGAGGGGTAAATCAGTTAAAATATTACTGAGATAGTAACAGACCTGAAACTAAAACATCAATTTTACTTCAAAAGGAATCATAAAATACAAAAATTGAGGAAAATAGCTGTTAACTACAGTAAGCCAGTGGTAAAGACCTTGCCTTTTCCTCATTAGTTAAGCAAAATACTCTACCCAGGAAGTTGGTAGTTTCTCCAACCAACTAGAAAAACTTTGAACAGATTTTTTAACATTTCAAGGGAGAAGGCAAGAGAGACGTAAACATCAGGAGAAACAAAATCACTCACAAAGAATAACATTATATAAATAAAACTTTATTATTTAAAAAAAGCATTTCACAAATGTCTTACATACATCATTTGCCAGAGATTCAAATCCAAATTCTTCCAAATGTCATTTTACGTGTATAGATTATACATCACTTTAAAAAACATTTGAACATATGTGCCAAATGCAGCAAAGGGCTGAAAAACAGAAGTTTCAATGTAAATACTCATTTAGAGACACCAGCAAATAGATCTGACCTTTTCAAGCGGCTTTCCCAAAGAGTTTCCAATCAGTTTCCAGTCATTCAAGACTTCTTCAACTTTGGAGATAAACCTAGGAAGGGGGGAATAAAACCTTCTAAATATATATAACAGCACATTTTTTTCTATTGTTATACAATTTCTTTCAAAATGTATTTTTTAGATTTTAACCAGAGAAGGCTCAGTAAGTTTAGTATTGTTGCCTAATTTATGGATATGAAATAAAAGTAAAAACAGCCGGGCTCGGTGGCTCAGCCTGTAATCCCGCGCCTTTGGGAGGCTGAGGTGAGTGGATTGCCTGAGCCCGTGGGTTCGAGACCCGCCTGGGCAGCAAGACCTCATCTCTACAATAAATCAAAAAATCAGCTGGGCGTGGTAGCACATGCCTGTAATTCCGGCTACTCGGAAGGCTGAGGCGGAAGGATCGCCGGAGCCCAGCAGGTCGAGGCTGCGGTGGCCGGGAGCGGCCACTGCACTCTAGTCTGGGCGACAGAGTGAGACTCCACCTCAAAAAAAAAAAATAAATAAAAGTAAAAACAATCTTTAACTCAAAAATTCTTAACATTTTGATTCTTTACATCTACTCCTTACCAAACAAAAGCATTCTGGCTTCTATAAAATATAAATTAAGTGTTAATAAGCCCCTCTCTTACAATGAATCCAGGGCAGGCAGGATGATTTAAGCCTGTAATTCCAGCACTTTGGGTGGTTGAGGCAAGAGGACTGCTTAAGCCTAGTAGTTCAAGACCAGCCTAGGCAACATAGCAAGACCTCACATCTACAAAAATTTTTTTTTTTAATTAGCGAGGCATGGTGGCACGAGCCTATAGTTCCAGCTACTTGGGGCTGAGGCAGGAGGATTGTCTAAGGAGGCCGAGGTTGCGGTGAGCCATGTTTGTGCTGCTGTACTCCAACCCAGGTGACATAGTGAAACCCTGACTCAAAAAAAATAAAATTAAACGAATACAATAAATTAGGGACAGAAATGAAAACTGACAGACTAAAATGATATTAAAGAAAATTATGAAACTGATAGTCTATCCTCTACCAAAAATAACTGACCTATTTAAATCAATTTTTTCTTTAAGTACATTTAAGAATTCCCAGATTTGTCCCCCTCTCTACCAAAAAAGTAAACATTATTTGGGAAATTTGCTCGTTAAAATAAAACAAGTTTTAAGGGACAGTTGATAAATTGAAATTAGATTTGTCAGCTTTAAGGAATAACTGACAGACTTAAAAACTATTCCATATCTGATCTTTAAATCAAATAATCAAGAAGACCTATTAAAAAGGGAACTAAATTTTGACTAACAACAAAATCAACATCAGCAAATGAAAACTGTCAAATCTCAGTGGCAGTATTAAATACGTTAAAAGACACTTTCAGAAAACTTGTTATTACTCTAAGAAGTTGACTTATATAAGTCAAGTATGATGTAATCTAATGGCAACAATGCTAGTGATACCTAGGAAGTATCACTAGAGTAAAAGCATCAGATTTCTCCTTCAGTGACATAAATATTTACATTTCTTGTTTAAGTTGCAATGAGGTAATGATACTTTTGCTTATGATCCAACTGAAGCTTCTCATAATTCTCTTTAAAATTAAATGTGGGGCAACCCCTTTGGGTCCCCTCCCGCTGTGGGAGCTTTTCTGTTCTCTCAATAAATCCTGCTTTCTCAAAAAGAAAAAAAAAGTTAAATGTGGCATTAATTTATATACTGATTCACTTTTGTGGGAGGCAGTCTAATGATAATTACTAGTTCTGAAAATAAGTTCTTTAGAAACAGGTTTACAAAAAAGAATTCAAAATATATCCATAGATGACAAAAATCTGCACGAAATATAAACTGCATTTATAAAGGTAAAAAACTGGCTGGGCACAGTGGCTCTTGCCTATAATCTCAGCACTTTGGGAGGCCTAGGTGAGAGGATTGGCTGAGCCCAAGGATTCGAAACCAGCCTGGGCGACTTGGTAAGACCTCATCTCTACAATAAACAAAAAAAATTAGCCAGGCATGGTGGCACATGCCTGTAGTTCCAGCTACTCAGAAGGCTGAGGCAGAAGGATCACCTGAGCCCAGCAGGTTAAGGCTGTGGTAGCTGTGAGTGTGCCACTGCACTCCAGCCTGAGCAAGAAATTCCGACTCAAAAAAAAATCGGAAGCTACCTTAACATCCAACTGCAGCAAACAGTTGTAAATTAATGGTACATACACTTGATGGACTAATACATACCCACTCATTAAAAAATATGCTTTGAAGAACATTTGAGGAAATAAGAAAATGTTTTTAAGTTAAATGAAAAAATGAAAGCTATAGAAATAAGTTAAATATCAATGTTAAATATGATTTAATCCAGAAGTTTATAATGCACAAATTAGAAAATATGTCAAAAAATTATTTTCTAAAAAAAAAGTAATAGCATTTTCCAGAGGCAAGTTTACAAGTTATTTCTTTTATTCGACTATAAAGTATTATTGTTACAGTAAAAATAATTTAAAATATTTTTCACAGTAAAAGAAGGGACATCTTAAAATACTCATGAATTCTATCAATATTAGCTAAAAGAGAAAATTTGGACTCTGTACTACAAGTATTGAAATTTGACTAGAAAATTTAAGTAACTTTTTCCTTAAAAGCTCTCCAGATCTTAGCTGAAGGATCATTTCCTGACTCTTTATTCTACATTAGGTTCCTTTGTTATATGCTCTTATAAGACCAGGTTTCTTTCTCTACCTAGCTCTTTTGTAAATTTGTACTTAGACTAATTTGTATTATTTGATTCATGTCTGCCTGCCACTAGACTGTACATTCAACAAGAGAGGAAACCATACTTGTTTTTACTAAACACCACATCCATAAATCCCTGACGCTGTGCATTATGCTTGACACACGGGCATTCAATAAACATTTCTTCAGTGGACAAATGTTAAAAAGATTTATGGGTTTCTACATAGTTCTCTCAATAAATTGTATAGTTCATAACAAACTGTATTGACAAGAACTTTCATTCAAACATTAAGAGTGATAATTTTCCCATTCAAAACTCTGACGTTTCCTTACCCCTATCCTCCAAGATCTGAATTACATTTTTCTAACTACCTTCAAGACATCAAGTTATTTCAACTCAAGACTGTACTCTTTTCACCCTTGACACTTCCATATCTTCATTCTTTTAGGCAAAAAACTGCAGTTCCATGTCTGATTCTTCTTCCCACTCCATTTAATCCAGCGTATCTACCTAAATCTTTGAAATACCTTATAATATGCCCTCCCAGCCTCCATTTCTCTCCAGTCCCCAAATCACCATCCTACTATGAAGGAAGGTAAGTCTCTCACCTTTATTTGACCTCATGACTTGAAACCTCTCACATCATATCAACTGGCCACTCTAAAATCAAGGGTCTTTCACTATTGTTTTAAGCAGTGATTCTTTTCTAACTGTGGTCTCCAGACCAGCAGCATCTGTACCACCTAGGACCAAGTTAGAAATGTAAATTTTGGGTCCCACCTCAGACCTACAGAATTAGAAACTCTAAAGGTGGGACCCAGCAATCTGACTCTACTTCAAAGACTCACTAATCAAAAACACCAAATTCCTTAACTTAACTTTGGACGCTGTCCATAACCTGATCCCATCTTCCTTAATCTTATTCCCTTCAACAGATACTTTTCATTCTAGTTAAGGCATATTTCTTCAGGAAGACCCAAAAGTTCCTTCTCTCCTATGTCTCTACCCATGTCAGTTCATTCTAATGTCTAACACCACTTCCCACTTTCAAGTCGCAGCTCATTTCCTATCTTTTCTAAGAAAACACCGCCAACTGTTGTAGTCCACCACAATACCACCCCTACTCAAACTACTATTTTTATAGTTAGTACCAACTACCTCACATTTTAACTGTCTGCTGTTTAGGTGGATCAAGTTTCTGTTTTTCCCTTGGTATACAGCTCTGAATGCAGAGTATCTGCTCAATAGTCTTGCCAGTGTGGTTATGTCTCACTGACTCTTCTTTGGGGGGTGGGGAGGGGGATACCACAGACCACACTATTATTCCAAAAGGGATCTTTTATGTTTTCCTATGCCATCTAATGACACGATCTCCACAGATTTCCTCTCTCAACTGGAAAGATTATAATATGCTGTAACACTCTAAATAACTGATCTCAGCACCCATAAATCTGAAGAGTTTCAGTGAAACCGAACAGAAAACTTCTCTATCTAGGCTATCACTTCTGCACAAACTTGGCTTTCAACTAATTTCGGGAAAACCAGTTTCACCCACACAGCTGTTCATCTGACTTGGAAAGTCACAGGAAGCCTGAGCACATTACCCACTGAAATGAAACTTGAATCAAAGCGTGCCAAAGCCATACGCAGACTTTTCAAGAAGGTTATTCTAAAAGACAGGGTGGAGATGGCGGGAGTGTGGCAGACGGACAACCACCAATACTCCGAAGAAAGGCCTCCTCCTGAAAAGGATACACCAGCGGGCACGGAAAGAAAAAAAGCACCTGCGAAGTTTACTGCTTACGATAACAAAATGAGTTACACGTAAATGAAAACAGGAACGGCAGTGACAGCTTTGGACACTGTTCTTGCGGGTGGGCAATAAGCAGGAAGTCAAAGGTCTAGGAAAAGTGGTCTGAGAGCAGGAAAAACAAAACTTTTTGAGAGCCTGAGTCTCAAGTGCTTGGCTGACGGAGGCGGGCCGGGACTTGTCAGACGCGAGACAAGGAAGAGGCTACGGATGATAAAAGGCGGAGACCCGCGGGCCCTGGTATTACTTTTCCCGCAGAATTGGCGTCACATGCGGTGTGTCTGGGTCAGGGACGCTGGAAGACGCCGGGGCCCAAGGTGCTGGAAACCAAAGATGCGACACACTCACCTTTCCCATTCCGAGGCAGTGGTAAAGTCCGTGATCTCAAATACCTCGGACTCGGGCTGCGGGAAGGGGAAGAAAACAAAGAGATTGAGCCCCTAGGCGACAACGCGGAGGAGCGAACTGAGACGGTGACAGGGAAAAGTAGGAAGCAAACACCTCACCTCACTGTCGGCAGCCATCTTGAGGAGCGCCGTGTCAGGCGCTGGGGCTGCCGGGAAGGAGAGCGGAAGAGCGGGGGAAGGAAGGAGGTGAGTTGTCGTGGGCGGGGACTGGGCGGGGCCTCCACGAAGCTCCGCCCACGTCCCACGGAGGCTCCGCCCTCGGCTCGTGAGTCCTGCCCTGGACCGGGAGATTGCTCCACCCCCCCCCACCCCCCCCCCCCCCCCCACCCCCCACCCCCGTCAGGAACCCTCAACTGGTTTAATAAAATTTGAAAGTGTCCCGTAGAGTACCACTGCCGTTCCTGTTTTCATTTACGTGTAACTCATTTTGTTATCGTAAGCAGTAAACTTCGCAGGTGCTTTTTTTCTTTCCGTGCCCGCTGGTGTATCCTTTTCAGGAGGAGGCCTTTCTTCGGAGTATTGGTGGTTGTCCATCTGCCACACTCCCACCATCTCCACCCTGTCTTTTAAAATAACCTTTCTGAAAAGTCTGCGTCTGGCTTTGGCACGCTTTGATTCAAGTTTCATTTTCTACAGAAAGGGAACAGAAGCGAGGAGGTAGAACAAGGCCCTAGACTCGTGTGGATCTAAGATTATATTTTAAAAACCTAAAGCATATTGGGGTTCGTTTTCATTCAACCTCTATTTATTGACTGCAAGATACTGGGCTCGGTGCTGTAATATCCACCCTTCCTATCTCCCCACCCCTATTCTTGCTCTGTCTCCCCCCTTTTTTATTTTAAGTCATGAAATAAAATCATCATATCAGTTATCTGGTGTCTGGAAAAAGCAGCATGTTGTTCAAGGAACACTTCACTTTTTAATCTATTGAAGAACAGAAGGGCTGTCAGCTAGCAATTAAGAATTCTATCTCAGGCAACCCCTTCGGGTCCCCTCCTGCTGTGGTAGCTTTTCTGTCTTCTCAATAAATTCTGCTTTTAAAAAAAGAATTATATCTCATACATACTGAATATTTACAAATAAAATGATACCTGGGATTGTCTTTAAAATAATAGGAAGGGAAAGTTGGTGGGGCTAGGAATGAAATAAAAACTATATAAGTGGTAACTGTTTAAGCTGGTGATAGGTACATTGTGTTTATTATTCCATTTCTTCTACTTTTGTTTAGGTTTGAAATTTTTCATAATTAAAGTTTAAAAAATTAAATCTTATTTAATGAGTTTTGCAACCCATAGAGGAAAATTTGGAAACTAAGAAATGCAGCTTTAGTAATAAAAATTCTTTATCTTAAAATAAGGCCTGGGCAACATAGTAAAGGTCCATCTCTAAAAAAAAATTTTTTTTTTTTGGCCAGACTTTTGGCTCAGCCTGTAATCCCAGCACTTTGGGAGGTGAGAGGATTGCCTGAGCAATTGAGCAATTGAGGGTTCAAGACCAACCTGGGCAACTTGGTGAGACCTCGTCTCTATAATAAATCACAAATACTAGCCGGGCATGGTGGCGTGCGTCTGTAGTTCCAGCTACTTGAAAGGCTAAGGTGGAAGGATTGCCTGACCTAGCAGGTTGAGGCTGTGGTGGCCATGAGCATGCGACAGCACTCCAGCCTGGGGGACAAGAGTGAGACTACAACACACACACACAAAAATTGAAAGTTGAAATGAGTTTTTTTGTTGATTTTTTTTTAAGAGTCAGAGTCTCGCTCTGTTGCCCAAGCTGGAGCGCAGTGGCACAATCATGGATACTGCAGCCTCGATCAGCTGGGCTCACGTGATCCTTCCACCTCAGCTTTTTAAATAGCTGGGACTACAGGCACATGCCACAATTCCCTGCTAATTCTTTTTTTAATTGTAAAGTTGAGGTCTCACCACGTTGCCCAGGCTGGTCTCAAATTCCTGGACTCAGGTTAACCTCTCGCCTCAACCTCCCAAAGTTCTGAGATTACAGGCATGAGCTGCCACACAGGGCTAAAATGGCAAAATGATTTTTCTATTTAGAGACTGAAAAGAGGAAAAGTGTCCAGCAAAAGAGAAAGGAAAGAAGTGGCTAGAGAAATAGGAGGAAAACAAGAAAAGAGCAATGGCACAGAATCCAAGGGCGGAGACTATTTCAAGAAGATAAATATGACTGCTGCTGAAAAAGCAAGTGAGAGAATATAAAGTCAAGGGTGATTAGTTGTTGTTTCTTGGATTTTTAATGTTTGTTTGACTTTACGGCAGACATGTTGGTATACTGATAGAAATACTCTAGCAGAGAAAGAGAGGTTGGTGGTGAAGGCAAGATGAAGGTGTCAGTTCTTTAAAGGGGAGAGGCAAAGAAATCCACAGAACTGGTCGTCACACAACTCCAGGGGACATTACTCACATTGTGTTCTGAAGTCTTGCTTTAGGAGTTGCCAGCCCCAGAATTGTGCACTGAGCAATTCAAAGCATATGTAGCAGGAGGGAATAAAGCATAGGTGAGTTTGGCCTTTTTTGGAGAAGAGAAAGAAGGGAAGAAAAAGATGGATATAGACTTAGGGAGATTTGTACATGTTGTGAAATAAAAATAAAATTCTTAGTCCCTAACCAACTGAACATCCCCTGTCTTAGCCAAGTGGACCCCAGAAAAAGTTGAAAACTTAGTTCTCTGCCAAGCAATGCAGGACAGGAGATCAGAGACTCCAGGCTGATATCAACCAAGCACCTGACTGCTGTCCCACCCTTTTGCAGTTTCAACAAAACAACTGGCTAGACGCAGTGGCCTACATCTGTAATCCCACACTTTGGGAGGCGGAGGTGGGAGGATTGCTGGAGCCCAAGAGTTTGAGACCAGCCTAGGCAACATAATGAGAGCTCATTTCTACAAAAAAAATCAAAAAATTACCTGGGCATGGTGGGGCGCATTGTAGTCCCAGCTACTCGGGAGACGGAGGCAGAAGAGACCTGAGCCCAGGAGGTCGAGTCTACAGTGAGCTGTGATCGTGCCACTGCACTCTAGTCTGGACGACAGTGAGACTTCAACTAAAACAAACAAAAAACAAAACTAACCAGCTTTACTTCGTGATGAGAGATCACAGACTCACACAGTAATTCTGGTCAGTCTCCAAAGAGTGTGGATTTTCGTGTCCTCTGCTTCACCATTTGACAGCAGAGGACTGAAAATTTCATCCTCAGATCATGCTAACATATCCAGTTTTTGAAATGGATCCCATTAAGAGGCATGAAACTCAATTGCACATGTGCATGTTTCTCCTTTCATAACTATTAATGACTCCTATAGTTTATTGAATAGGTATGTTTGGCCACTTCATTCAGCATAAATCCCTGTCTGATTCTTCCCACTCTCGAAGTGTATGTTTCCAGCTTCTGGAAACGTATGCTTCTCAGCCTATCAGAATGGACACCCTGCAACCTTTTTGTTTTTTTTTTTTTTGAGTTGGAGTCTCACTCTGTCGCCCAGACTAGAGTGCAGTGGCTGCTCCCAGCCACCGCAGCCTCGACCTGCTGGGCTCTGGTGATCCTTCCGCCTCAGCCTTCCAAGTAGACGGAACTACAGGCGTGTGCTATCACGCCCTGCTCATTTTGATTTATTGTAGAGATGAGGTCTCGCCAGGTTGCCCAGGCGGGTCTCAAACTCGCGGGCTCAGGCAATCCACTCACCTCAGCCTCCCAAAGCCGCGGGATTACAGGCTGAGCCACCAAGCCTGGCTCCCTGCAACCCTTTCTGAAAAACAAAGCTCTCTTTTTCAAATGTGTGAACCTCATCTTTCTTTAGTTGACAATGTAAAGGAAAAGTTTCTTGTTCACCTACTTTTTAAGATACTCACAAAGCAGAGATTCCACACCTTCCTGGACCAGACATGTAAATCTCACATGTATTGATTTGTGATTTTTTGTAACTTTGGTCACCGTTAAATGCATATAACCAAGCTACAATTCAGCCATGGCAGGCACACGTTCTCAGCACCTCCTGGGAATGAGTGCTATGGACCTAAAGTCACTCACATTTGGCTGAGAATAAACCATCTTAATATTTTACAGTTTGGCTTCTTTTGTCAACATATGGTCATAAGTAAAAATGGTTAGCACAAAGTCCTGGCATAATATGTGACCAATTACAGCAGTAACATTTATCATGAATATACCACAAAAACCATAAAGAGTTACTCTCATATAAGGCATTATTTTTTTTCTTCTTGAGTAGCCATGAGGAAATTTCATACCAAAATCAGAAAATAAGAAAATCATAAAGTGGCTTAGGGAAATCACTCTCAAACTATTTCCTTTACTGTCAGATCGCCACAACAATTGTCAACACAAAATAAGATTTCTGTGACCATATGTGGAGGTTTTCCTCACACAAGCAGCAGACACCTGCTGGTTGTCCTCCAATTCAATTCCAACACCATCTACCTGGAGATAGTTTCAGATCCCACAGGTTGAGGGCTCAGTCCCCAACAGTGCCCTAACTCCAAACACCAGTCACAAGTCCAGGCCTCCAGAAATTCTCTCTGGCTCCAATTCAAGGTTCCCATAACCCCCTCTTTGGCATGCTGGTACACCTCACAGAACTCGGAAACATTCTTTTACATTTACCAGTTTATCATAAAAAATATTACCAGGGATACAGAGGAAGAGATGCATAGGATGAGGTATGGAAGGAAGGGGCACAGAGCTTCCATGCCTTCCCTGGGGTACTACCCTCCAAGAATCTTCACATGTTCAGCTATCCGGAAGCTCCCTGAACACAATCCTCTTGAGTTTTTGTGGAAGCTTCAGGACATTAGCATTCCTTCCTCCAGGATACAAGGCGGGACCCTCTCTGGGGAGAGTCTTAAGACTCAGTAATGGCCGGGCTTGTGGCTCAGCCTGTAATCCCAGCACTTCGGGAGATCTAGGCGAGTGGGTTGCCTGAGCCCTCAGGTTCAAGACCCACCTGGGCAACTTGGCAAGACCTCGTCTCCACAATAAATAACAAATTAACCAGGCATGGTAGCACGTGCCTGTAGTTCCGGCTACTTGGAAGGCTGAGGCGGAAGGACCACTGGAGCCCAACAGGTTGATGCTGGGATGACCATGAGCGTGCCACTGCACTCCAGCCTGAGCAATGGAGTGAGACTC